TCCTCAGTGTCTCCACAGCTCCTTCTGCTTAGCTCTACTGGAGAATTGACCACACTTGATAGTAACTGTCTGTACCATCGCAAATGAGTGGTGTCCTTCACAGGGAGGGGCGGGGGAAGAGAGGGGGGAGTGCGAGTGGGGGAGGGCGTCTCTCACTACTGCAACACCAGGACCTGGCACAGAAAGCCCCTCATTAGACAACTCAATATGTGTTTGTTGAATGAATGAGTGACTCCTCGCCCTCTGCCCATGAGGATGGGAATTTCATTATCCCCCAGTTTGGTCCAGTGCATGTAGTAGGTGCTCGATAAATATATGATGAGAGAATTAATAAATATCAGACAGGAGAGATGAGTACCCACCAGGTCCTCATTTTCACAGGAGAGCTCTGGGGAACAAAGACAAATCAAGTTGAACTTCCTAGAGTTTTGCTAAAATGGGATTTGCCAAAGACGTCCTGAAAAATGGATTTAATTAGGCCCGTTAATAGGGGAGTCGTCGGTGGCGAAGATTTAAAGCTGAGGCCGGAAAAGGTATCGATAATTTTACCATTTTAAATTATACAGGAGGTTATTCCTCACCCCCACCTTAATTGCAAGACTGCATCTCGATGAAACCTCGGCTTTGGAGAGAAATAAAGCCAAAGGTAGAGGCAGGGTCTGATATTTCATTGACGTGGAGCATCAGAAGTGTCCCAGCAGAGCGCAGCCCGCTCAGCCAAGGTGAGCTCCACCTCAGAGCGGGATTGGTGGCTCTGCGCAGCCAGCTCTCATTAAGCTAACAATTGTCAGGACAACCTGATGTGACTCTTAAATGCAAAAAGCCTCCAGGAGAGGGAAAGGCCTGGTGGTCTCCACTGGCACGAAACTCTGTGTAGATTTTCAGTGCCGGGCCAATTTCTTGCAATCCTTCTTCCCATCAGGCAGTTTCAGAGATTTGTGTTCTAACTGGTTCCCTGTGAGGACACACCTTTTCCCGCTTGGCTCCCCTCTAGCAGAAATGCTTAGATGTCCCCCAATTATGGAGCCAAATAGAAGCAGCCCTGTTGGGGTTTTAGCTTCCTTCACACAGCCAAGAGTCTGGGTCCCACTGCCCGAGGCTCTTGCCTGGGACTCCAGGAGAGTCCAGAGAGTCCCGGCTCACAGTGGGGCACCACTCAGGCCCAGGTCTGCAGGGAGGCTGGTGATGGGCAGGGTTGGTAGGGCTGGGCAGGGCCAAGCAATGAGGGAACTCACCTTGGGCAGAACTCAAGCCAACAACAAAGAACTTAGGGATCAGCATCGCTCACAGCTTAATACGACATTGTGAAAAAATACAAATGAACACAAAAATGCCCATGGTGAACACAACATCAAAATTTTAAGTAGACCGTTGAGCTGGCTGATGGAGGACCCGCTCACATCACCCGGCCCTGGCTCTGAGGTCTGGGAATAGTCAGGCACATGCGTCTGAGCCCCTCCCCAGCCCAGACTTCCTACCCCTTGTTTGGGAGAAACAACAGGGAATCCGGGGTCAGACCCCAGGAATCGTCCCAGCCCCCACCCACCTGCACCAAGTCTCAGGCCGGGCCCTGCTCAGGCTTCATCCTCACACGGGGCTGAGGAGCAAAAATAGAGTGTTTTCATAAGTGAGGCCACGCAGTGTAGTCACCACCCCGCAGGGAGCCTGTGTGAATCCCAGAGCTCACCCCTGGGGCGCCCTCCCACCACCCCAGACAGGGGTTCTCACACCAGAAGCTGCGCTGCACAGCTTGCCCAGCGGACAGTGCTGCCTCGAGGTGTTCCAGGTCAGCTTCCCAGAAAATGCCGCAGCCCGGTGGAAGCCTGATCTGTGACGACCTGGCCCTGAGCAAGTGTCCAGGACTTTCTGAGCCTCGTTGTCCTCATCTGCAAATGGGGTTCGTCAGGAGGCTGCTCCCTCCTCCCAGGGCTCAGGACACCAGGCGCCAGGCAGGCGTGCCCCTCCCCCCACAAGAGCGCCCCTCCCTCCCCCCACCCCTACCCAGGGGGGCAGCAGCAGTCCCCAAGGCGACAGTGCAGGCACCAGGGGTGAAGTTCAAACGTGGCCCATTTCCTGTTTTCCTGACAGCCTATTTCATGGATCACAGAGACCCAAGTGCAGCTGCTTATTCAACGGAGGGAAGAATGAATTCATTTTCATCCCTTAATACCCAATGTGACCTATTCTCTGTTGATCTCTCCGTTCCCAGCTGCAGCCCTACCCGCGGACTTTCAATTTGGCCAGAGAGAGAAAATGTGCAGTAATGACAGAATGTCCTGCCCGGAGAATGCTGGGAGCCGAATCACCGCCGAGCCGGTAATAAGTCCAAATGAAAGATATTATGTCACCTCGTTTGAATTAAACAGATGAACTGTAGTCCTAGACCATAAAGAAGGAGCCAACGTGCTGGACGGCGTCCAAGCCTCCACGCTCAGTGCCCCCCAAAAGGTGCTGGGCTCCTGCGGAGTTACATCCTCATTTTCTGCCAATAATTCCTCCTCTCTGTGGACAGGGAGGAATAAAATGCTGAAAAGGCCGCTCGTCCTTCTGGGGAGGCCCCTTTCCAGGAAAGGGCGACCCCAGGGGTGTGAACTCACGCTCCAGGACGCCCCCAGCAGGCGGTGGGCCTGGGGGAGGCAGAAGGTAGAGCCAGCAGGGCCTGTCTGGGGACTGGCTCACCCCGTCCCCGGGCAGTGGTTTCTCCCCTAGGTTTTGGGGGTCCTTCCTCCCCACACCCCAAAAGCCCAGGCAGGTTGACAGCATGGCTCCCTTTGCACATGGGGACCGCAGCAAGGGTCTGGGGCCCAGGTGCCGGTGCACATCTCTAGGGTGCCTGGGTGCGAAAGCCCTGCCGTCCCCCACCATGCCCCACCCACCTCTCTGAGCGCCCAGCTCCTACGGACCTCCCACCACCCCGCCACGGCGCCTCTCCCTCAAGCTCTATAACGGTCTTGTTTGGTGGCCCTGAAGAACCTCTGCCCTGCAAACATGTCATTCTGGGTGCCCCCCTCAGAATGAGGCCAGACTGGGAGGCGCAAGACCCAGACCAGATCCCAGCTCTGCTGCTTACCAGCCACGCAGCTTAAGAATGCCTCTTTCTGCTCAGCCTCAGTTTCCCCATCTGTTCACAGACTTCCTAAGCCAGAACTGTTCCAAATTTCCTCTGCTCCCCACCCCGCCAACAGAATCCCAGCCAATGTGCATCTTTCAGTTTCCAGACTCAGCTCCCCGGTAAGATTTCTCCCAGAACCACCCCCAACCCCCAAAATGAGCAAGTCTGACTTGCCCACAAACAAAGGAGGCTTATATCAAGCAGAATACTAGTGCCAGGCATTGCTGCGTGCTTTCCCTTCACTCATCCCACAAAGCGTGGGTACCAGAGCCTCTCCTGGGCCCTGGGGACTCAGCAATGGCCAGGCACATGCCCCTGACCGCAAGGATGGCCAGAGCCGGCAATGACTACCCCTTCCTCATACCCACACGCCTTCTGTGTTAACACAGTCAAGGCCACAGGGGATCCCCGCAGAGGATAGTGGTGGAAAAGCCTAATTAGTTCATTTACCCTAGGCGGGCACTGAGCTAGTCTGAGCCGGAGCCTGCCTCGCTGGTTCTGGCCCTTCCTCTCTCCTGCCAGCCCCTAGCCAAACCTTGTCCCCGCCTTGTCCTCCAGCATCTCCATTAAGCCACAGGCTCTCGCCCTCCCCTCCCTGTTCCCAGTGGGCAATGTAGGGCCGTGGGGATAGGAAGTCAGGCAGCCTTTCCCCACCAGAAGGACCATATTTATCGCAAGCTGCCTCTGCGTGTAAGAGCTCAGGGGCCCCAGGCAGGGGAGAGGGATTCACAATCAAGATGACAGTGACAGTGGGCTCGCTCCCGGCAACGCATGCCTGTCCCCCAGCCCTTCACCCCACACAGAGCCAGCCAACCCTCTTCAGACTCTCCTTCGTCTCCAGATGCTAAGGCAGGAGTTGCACTGACATGCTTCTTGAATCTTTGAGGCTCACAGACACCCCCGAGAATTTGAAAGCTGTGACTCCTTCCTTAGGGGGAAAAGTGTATACTTAGCTCATTGCAAATTTGCCCACAATTTCAGTGAATTCCCAAAATCCTAAAACCCACCTATCAACCCTTTTGGAGTTAATGAAATTCTTAATTCGGTCAGTCCCTAAATGAGCATCTATTAAGTGTCGCTGGTAAGTGCCACGCTGGTATCCTTGCTTATAATCGGGGTCATAAATCACCTACAAAAAAGCAGACACTCCAAGCTCTCCCACGCAGAGCCTCGCCCAGACCCATCAACTTGGCGCCTCAGGGAGGGGGCTCCAGACTCCCTGTTGGGGTGGGGGGGTCCTAACATGTGCCAACAGGGAGAGCCTAGATTCTGAAAATCTATACGTGTTTGTAGAGAGCACCCCAGGGGGTGTGCCCACACCTCCTGCTGCTCACTAAATATTGGATCAAGACATCTGCAAAGCACCTACTGGGTGCTGGCACTATGCTGGACGCGGGGCACAGCGGGGAAGGAATCTAAGTCGCCGTCCTCGCGAAACTGACATTCCCGCAGCGGGAACTGGCCACATGGAAGCACACAGTTCAGCAAGCACAAATTGTAACTAATGCCACAAGGCACGCAAGTGAGGAAGGGACATAACGGGTAACAGGAGCTTTCTCGGGCAGGCCCAGGAAGGCTTCCCCAGAGACCCTGATGGGTGAGGGCTGGGGGGAGGGCAGGGGCGGGAGGGGCAGAGGCCAAGACCCTGCGTGAGGCTCAGTAGGTGAAGGGAGGTACCAGAGAAACACAGCTCCTGGGGGCCCCACCGGGACCCCAATCCAGGTCTCCTGAGTGGCAAAGGGGAGGCTGTGGGCCCCCTCAGAAACCGGTTCCACCTCCTGCTGCCTATGGACCCCCCCTTTCTGCCAACTCCCAGCCCCACCCACTGGGACCTGGACAGCATTGTCCCCCCACCCCACCCACGTCCCGCCTCACAAGCCCCATCCCCATGACAACTGGGCTAGCCAATCAGGACACTGCATTTTTCAAGGGCACCTATACATTGAGCCTCCTCTCCCCAGCAGCCACACTCAACATTCAGAGGCCTCCAGGGCCCCCTCTTCCTGGAGAAACCAATTCAGGTGCCCCCCACTTTCCTCCAGGATAACCAAAGGGAGTCCTCTTCTTGGAACGCTCAGGGCCAAGACCCAAGGCTCCGGTCACTCTGCTTAGAGCCCCCCCCACCCACAGGCCTGCACCATGATGCCAGAGAGACCCAGGAGTCCCTGAGAGTTCCCAGCAGCAGTCCAGGAGTCCCGTGCAGCAGCAAGAGCACCTTGACCAGCCTGCTGCCCTCCGGGCTGGACAAATGCAGTGACATCAGCCAGCTGAGCAGCGGGTACGAGGGGGATGAGGAGAACAGCAAGGTCAGCCTGGTGAGCACAGGCCAAACAGTGCGTCTGAGCAGGAAGCACAAGACCCACACCAGCAGCCCCCAGACCCGCCAGCTGTGTGCCACCCACTCACCCAGCCAGTCGGACAGCGGCACCCACAGCACCCAGCAGCCTGGAGGGGAAAAGCGAGACCAGCTTGCCCAGCAGCCGTGACGACAGCGGGGCCAGCAGCCTGACCAGCCTCAGTTTCATCAGCCTGGGCAGCAGCGCACTGACCTACCAGGTCAGTTCCATGGGCAGCCTGCCCTCCAGCCACGCCAGCAGCACCCAGAACATCCGGGTGGACGGCAATGCACAGAGTGGGCTGAAGAGTAGCACCAGCCTCCAGGAGGACAAGGCGGCAGGCAGCGGGCAGCCTAGCGACCAGGCGGCCAAGGAGGAGCAGCCCGCCCAGGTGCAGGTGCACTGACCAGGACACCCAGTGGCCACTGGGTCCTTGAAATACAGGCATGAGGACCCAGCAAAGCCACACCTCACCTAGAGAGGCAGTGGCCACAATAGGCAGGAAGGGCCTGGGTAAGGCACACCCTGACTGTCCGTGCCATCGAAGGACAGACAGCCACGGCCATCAGCAGTCACAGGTGGCAAGAGCCACGGATAACGCACCTCACCTGCACGGGGGTCCACCATCCGCATCCACACCCCGGGGCTGGAAGAGCTGTTACCACGATCCCTCAAGCCAGGGGGCCAAAACCATGCGTACTGGGAGCCCCGGTGATGAGCCCCAGACAGGATCCATCTGCTGCAAAACCGCCTGCACTGAGAACCATCATGATGGCATCACCTGTGCCGACGCGCAGCTGTGACCAGTCGCCAGCGCCACGTGCAGAGACCTGTCCAAAGTTTGAACCTGCTGCGAAGAAACCACCTGGAGAGAACACCATCGACCCCACACACCAACATGGTGAGCTCGGGAGACACGAGCACCGACTGGGACTGTCCTCGTGGAAGCCAGCTGGAGGGAGCACGGCCCCTGGGTCCCCGAGCCTGGCGCCTAGAGAGGACTCGTGACGCCCCCCCCCCGGTCAAGGAACCCCATCCCCAAAGGGCAGGGCGAGACCACGTGAGGCTTTCGTTCGGAAGACTGTCCTGGGCGGCCCCTGCCCAGAACCTTCCAGGGGCAGGTGCTTCTGTGGCGCCAGTGTCTCCGTGGCTCTCAGAGGCGGTGGCGAGGCCGGGGGGGGTGGCCAGAAATCATCCTGGCTGAGACGACTGGACAGGGCTTCCTGCGGCGAGGCATGGAAGGTGGTTAACGGGGCGCGTCAGGCGGCCATAACGGGGGGCTCCGGGCCATTCGGTGAGCATCCCCTAGGTGTGTGGACTGAGGCTGCTGCCCTGCCCCCTCTCGGGACAACCACGTCCCTCCCCAGGCTGACCACGCAGGCTGGGCAGGGAGCGTGCTCACAGGCAGCGGCAGGACGGTCCAAAGCATCCCCTGGGTAGCAGAAGGAAAGCTGAGGAGCACCAAAGACAATAAAGGTGTCAGGAGAGGCTGGACATGCAGAGCCCGTGTGTGTTTTTGGGGTGCATCTGGGGGACAGCGGCACAAGTACGGTCAAGCCATGTTGAGAGTCGGGCTTAGCTACGGACATTCTGGGTCTAACCTGGTCGCTGGGGCGACATCCTCCAACTTGCCCAGCCTCGGTTTTCTCATCCGGTGGGTGGAAACAACAGCCCGTGTCACACACAGGATGGCTTCATGGGTCATAAGAAACACGTGTAAGGAACCTGCCGTGTCAGGGGACCCAGTGTCTACTGTCACCCTGTCCTGGTCTCGCAGTGACACTGTGGTCCCTGCCTCCTCCACAGAGGGAGCCGGAGCATCTGCTTGAGTCAAGACAGTTCAGCAAGTGGTTCTGAGGTTTGGGGTGGGGTAAGTGGCCCAGCCCATGGCTGATGGGCACACCCGGTCTCGACGGTGGACCCCCTCTTTTTCAGCATGTTGACCCTACTGAGTATATCCTCTCCCACTTTCTTCCAGGCAGAGCCCAAGCACCCACAATCCAGGCAGATAGGAGAAGGGTCCCCATCCCTGCCCCAGTGAGCCCCTCTCTGCAGGTGGGCCCTGGGGTGAGCTTGGCTGCTTCACCCCTACCCCATCACTGCCCTTCCTCCCTGCCTTGCTGCACCAGAACGAGGTCACAGCGGCACAGTTGCTGAACGCAAGCTGAAGGGCTGAACACTGGAGATGCTCGGACACAGCAGGGCCGGGGCTCAGCAGCCCCCTTCCCCAACCAACTCCTTCTCCCATGCCCCTTCTCAGCAGATGTATCACCTTGCCCCAGGTGTTTGAGTGCGCTAGGACCCCATGAATCACGCTGGCACCCTCAGCTGTATGGCCCAGCGGTCCCCAAACACTCCCATCCCCACGGGGCCTCCATTACCCCCCCACCCCAGGCGGTGGTTTCAAGCCCTGGCTGCACACCAGAACCACCCAGGGGACACTGAAAATGTGCCAATGCCCAGGCCACCTGCAGCACCTGATGGGACATGGGGGGTGTTCAGGACTCAGCAGGAGAGAGGCCCTGATCTCTACCACTTCTGATCCCCTTTCAAACTGTGTCAAAACCGACACCCTGGCAGGACCGGGAGGTAAGAGTGGATAGAATTTGGCAAACTGGCAAACTACACCCCCAACCAAAGAGAAGCCAGGATCCCCTGTGAAATCACCTGATTTCTCAATGGCAGTCTCAAATTCAACTTCCTTTTAAAAACAGAAGTGAGGGCGGCCCTCCCTCGTGGCGCAGCAGGTTAAAGCGCAGCACTAAGAAGCTTAGGCCACTTCCGCATGAGTTCCATCCCCGCCTGCCCCGGAGGTGACCACATGGTGCAGCAGACCTCTCCTGACCCGCCCGCTGCTCCCCTCAGCAGTGTACTTTGGCAGTCTGCCTGTTCTGTTCCCCGCCCTGTCCCTGGTGAATCCTCTCACCCTCCACATCTCTGGCCTGTACCCCAGTTCTGTATGCATAAATAAATAAATAAATCTTAAGAAGAAAAAAAGGAATTGGGTTAAAAATAATTTTAAAAAAATAGAAGTGAGGGTGAAGGAGAACACGTGGGGGAGCATCAGGCCCACGCACACAAGAGCTTCAGCTTTGGGAGAACGAAGCAATCTTCCTAAACAAAAGCTGCTCATACTCTTTGAATGCTGAAAAACTGAATTTTCCCAAGCCCAAAGGATTCAAGATGGCATTTCAAGGCTCCCCGCACACAGCCGAGATAGCCTCTGTGTCCACAGGTCCGCAGCCACCAGCGCCCAGCCTCGGGGGCCGCTCCCCTGGATGCAGTTAGGCCTGCGATGGTCACATCTGCTCTGAAGGTGGGGGGCCTTGAGTCCTGTCATTGCTCCCTGCACAGTACAGTGTAACATTTACACAGTCTGCACACCATCTCAGCTATTCAAATATCCTAGAGATGATGGAGAAAAACGAAGGGAGGATGTGCAAATACTGTCATTTTATAGGCGGGAACAGCATCCTCAGACACACGCAAGGGTCCTGAAGCCACTCCCACAAGGGTATGGAAAAGTGACTAAGTTTTCCTACCTCAACTCCTGTCACTTCCTCTGAAACCCTCCCACACCACCAGCTGCTTCTTGTCTCAAGCAAGAATGGTAGCGCCACCCTCTGCAGGATCTGCCTCCTCTGAGGCAGAGTGCCACTGCCCAACCCACCCCTCAGGTCCTCACCACTCCTGTCCATGCCAGGGGCATCAGCGACTGCCAAGATGGATGGATGGATGAAGATGGGTGGGTGGGTGGGTGGGTGGATGGATGGGTGGTGTGTGGGCAAGCAGTAAAGAATCTAAGGAAGACAGCTGGATCTGCAAAAGCTAGCATTCCAACAGGTACACCCCACTCCCAAAAACCAAAGCAGCTCAGGAGCCATAAGTTAAATATGGCTCAGGGTGCCTGAATCCCAGGGCCACTCCACCCTTCTCCCTTACTGTTAGCCCAGCAAAAACGTCTGGGCTCTCTTCCACCCCAGACACCCCAGACGCAGCATGCACTTGAAGGGAGGAGAATTTTTCATGCTGGCATGGTGATGTTTTTTATTTCCTGTCCACTAGCCCTGCATCAGGGTGCAGCAGGGTTGGAGTGATGGGTTGGCTGCAGGCACCAGCTCCTGAATTATTAACTGGGCTGGGGAGAGAGCTGCTTACAAATGCTGACCATCCAGCAGGCCAAAACAGCCCCCAGACTTCAAAAAGGCTCAGCCTCAGAGAGGGCAGCCAGAAGTGGGAGGGACTCGGCCATGGGCCTTTCTTCGGGAGCTCTCCCTTGGCCTCCTGCCCTGGAAAGAGGTTATCTTCATGCTTCACACCTTACACTCTGCTCTGGGGGTCACGATTCTGATCTCTCCTCTCTGCCCACCTCAAATCCTGCAGGGAAAAGACTAACTCTGGAAACTCTGTTTCTTTCTAGGTCAGGGATGTTCTGAGGGTGGGAGTAGAGTGTCGTAACTCGGGTCCCTAAAAGGCAGAGGCTGAGGTACGTGTTCTCTGAAAGACTGTTGCAAGGAGAAATGGAGTGAGGAAGCAGGAGGAGGAAGAGAAGGGCTGAAGACTGGCGTCAGCTCAGCCCATCAGGCCACCTCCAGCACCGGCAGGCTCAGGTGTGTCCACTGAGGGCATGCTCACGTGCTTGCCCTTTGTTCCATCTTTATCTGAGTCACACTGGATTGCAAGTATCCATTTCCTTGAGTTTCCTTCTGTGTGGGGACAATGTCCCCAGAGTTTACTGGAGATTAGGCACTCAGTGAATGTGTACTGAAGGAAAGAAGGAGGAAAATGAGAGCATGGGGTAGATTCCCACCCTACAATCCCTTTGGATATAGCTTTCCCAGGAATGAAGTTCCTCCCTCACTCAGATGTCAGAGGATCATAGCTGAAAGGCAGCAGCACGCCTATTCAGAGAGGGACAGAATTTAGCGTTGACCACGCAGCAACATGCTGGCAGAACTATGATGCTACTGTTGATCAGAACTCTGTGTTGCTGGCTCTTATTTACTTCCCCAGATGCTCCTTCCCCACCAAGGGGTCAGGAAAAGATGAGGTGTCTGGGGTGGGGTGGGAGGGGGACATGCACAGAAGATATTTTCTCTTCTACGTCTTCATGGGCATTGGCCCATGATTTATTCATCAGGAAATCTGCT